ACGAAGCGCTGTACTGGGTGGTGGCTGACGCGAGCGGGCGGTGCCACTGGAGCCTTCGGTTGAGCCCCCATGTGGGGCCACGAAACGCTGTGCTGGGTGGTGGTTGACGCATGCGGGCGGTGCCACTGGGGCCTTCGGTGGAGCTCCCGAAGGGGCCACGAAACGCTGCATTGGGTGGGTGAATCGCAGGGAAGAAGAGGCTGTGTTGGGTGGTGCTTGGCGCATGCGGGCGATCCCACGTGGACCTTCGGTGGAGGTCACTATGGGGTCACGAAGCGCTGTACGGGGTGGGTGAAACGCAGGGAGGAAGGGCTGTGCTAGGTGGTGGTTGACGCATGCGGGCGGTCCCACTGGGACCTTCGGGGTGGGTGAAACGCAGGGAGGAAGGGCTGTGTTGCGTGTTGGTTGACTCATGCGGGCAGTCCCATTGGGACCTTCTGTGGAGCTCCCTACGGGGCCACGAAGCGCTGTACTGGGTGGGCGGAACGCAGGGAGGAAGGACTGTGCTGGGTGGTGGTTGACGCATGCGGGCGGTCCCGCTGGGACCTTCTGTGGAGCTCCCTATGGGGCCGCGAAGCGCTGTACTGGGTGGGCGAAACGCAGGGAGGAAGGGCTGTGCTGGGTGGTGGTTGACGCACGCGGGCGGTCCCACTGGGATCTTCGGTGGAGCTCCCTATGGGGCCACGAAGCGCTGTACTGGACGGGTGAAACGCAGGGAGGAAGGGCTGTGCTGGGTGGTGGTTGATGCATGCGGGCGGTCCCACTGGGACCTTCCGTGGAGCTCCCTATGGGGCCACGAAGCGTTGTAATGGGTGGGTGAAACGCGGGGAGGAAGGGCTGTGCTGGGTGTTGGTTGACGCATGCGGGCGGTTGACGGGAGGAGGGAGGAGGGAGGGGACGAGGAGGAGGGAGGAACGCGGGGCGTTGTCTGTTCAAAACGAGGACCCAACACGACAGGATGGTTGGGAATAATAGAACAGCGAGATCCAACCAGCATGCTGGGTAGCGACTGTTCGAGGGTGACACAGGCCATCACGTGTGACGCCTCGTGTCTCCCGGCTCTGCAGAGCTGTGATGAGGATGTTGAGGATTACGCGGGTATTGAGGGCGAGGATGACGGAGATGATAATGAGGATCATGATCAGGATCAGGATCAAGATGTGGATGAGGATGACGATGACGATGACGATGACGATGACGATGACGATGATGAATGGTGACGATGATGATGATGACGATGCTGATGATGATGTTGATGATAACGATGACGATGGCGATGTTGAGGATGATGTTGATGATGATGATGATGATGATGATGATGATGATGATGATGATGATGAGGATGAGGATGAGGATGAGGATGAGGATGATGATGATGATGATGATGATGATGATGATGATGATGGTGGTGGTGGTGGTGGTGGTGGTGATGATGATGATGATGATGCTGATGATGATGATGATGATGGCGATGGGGATGATGTTGATGTTGATTATGGTGCTGATGCTGATGCTGATGAGGATGAGGATGAGGACGAGCACGATGATGAGGGTAAGGATGAGGATGAGAACGAGGGTGAGGATGAGGGTGAGGATGGGCGAGGAAGATGTTTATGGTGATGATGATGATGATGATGATGATGATGATGATGATGATGATGATGATGATGATGGCCATGGTCATGGCCATGGCCATGGTCATGGTCATGGTCATGGTGAAGATGAGGGTGAGGATGAGGATAAGGATGATAATGAGGATGATGACGATGACGATGACGGTAACGATGATGCTGATGATGATTATGTTGATGGTGATGATGATGGGGCGGATGAGGAGGAGGAGGAGGATGAGGAGGATGACGATGACGATGGATGTGACGATGGCATTGTTGTCGCTGATGAGGATGATGATGATAACGAGGATGAGGATGAGGATGATGCTGCTGCTGATGATGATGATACTCATGATGGTGATGGTGACGGTGATGGTGATTTCGATGGTGATGGTGATGGTGGTGGTGATGATGATGAGGAGGAGGAGGAGGATGAGGAGAAGGATGATGATCAACATTATGTTGATGCTGATTTGTGGTGGTGATGATGGTGGTTGTGATTTACGATGGTGATTATGGTGATGATGATGCTGATGATGATGCTGATGACGATGCTCATGATGCTGATGATGATGGTGGTGATGATGATGCTGTATGATGATGATGATGATGATGATGATGCTGATGCTGATGCTGATGCTGATGCTGATGCTGATGCTGATGCTGATGATGATGATGATGATGATGATGATGACTATGACGACGAAGGTGATGGTGATGGTGATTTTGATTGTGATGGTGATGGTGGTGGTGGTGATGATGATGATGATGCTGATGATGATGATGATGATGATGATGATGATGATGATGATGATGAGGAGAGGAGGAGGAGGAGGAGGAGGAGGAGGAGGAGGAGAAGGAGGAGGAGGAGGGGAGCAGACACAGGGCTCATTTCGACTCCTCCGATTCGGTTCGATTCGATTTCGACTGCTTCCAGTTCCGGTTCGATTCGACTGGGGATTCCGATTTGGATTATGATTTCTCACTGGAGGCCGACCAGCCCGCCGATCTCCGCCGATACGACTCGTCCCCTCCCCTCTCGGCTGCCAAGTTCCGCCGACCCGATTCATGTCGTTCTCCCTGCTTCTATTTTCCTGCTCCCTTGAGTGGGGCAGCCTGCTCTGCGGGGGCGTGCCGCTCTCCCCATCCCCGGGGCCAGCTCAAGCTGTGTAGAGAGATGTTCGTATGCTCGATTGATTTCGTTCGCCCATCCGATGTATCGACTCGGTTTTCGGGCCCTCTTGCGGACACCCCCTGCAAGGCCGCTGCGCCGAAGCCGGCCGTGCCCTCCGTGGGCGCCGCCGCGGCGGCCGCCACGGCGGCCGTGGCGAAGGCTAGCCGCACCGTCTAACGCCCCCGCGGGTCTCCCGAGGGCTGCACGACCTTTTGGCCAATCGGCGTTGGCTTGGCATCGCTCGGCCGTGAGCTCTGTAGCAAATCCTCCTCCTCCTCCTCCTCCTCCTCCTCCTCCTCCTCCTCGTGGCCCAGGATCGGTCGGGCCAGGATCGGTGTGGCTGTACACCTGGCGCCCCTCCGAGGAAGCAGGACCGAGCTCGGGGCGCCGCGGCAGAGCGCGGGGGCTGAGGCGTTCGTGCCGGGATCCTGCCACAGGAAGTCTCGGCGGCGAGCCACGGTAGGCAGGCCTAGAGAGGAGTGCCGGGACGGTCGGTCCCCGCTCCATCCACGGGCCCAGGGACCTTGAGAGTTCAGCGCTGGAGGCAGAGCTGGTTTTTGAGGAAAGACCCTGGCGTCCAGGACCCGTTCCCCCGCCAGGACCCGCGTCCTTCGTACCGAAGCGTGCTCCGCGGCGTGCCCCTCGCCCACCCCCGGGACGCCTCCTCGGGAGAGCGTTTTTTTATTATTCCCGGGCGATTGCTGGCGTTACCAGGGCGAGCTGTCAGAGACGGGGGTCCATGCAACCAGGGGTCCGCCAGAGGAGCGCCGGATCTTGCAGGATCCTGCGGGGCCAGGGCTGCATTGACCCGGGCTGGGGAGCAGGACCCTGCAGGATCTTGTAGAATCTTGCAGGATCCTGCAGAGCCCGACGGACCCGGGCTCGGATTGACCCCGGTCTGTAGTGCCCGGGTCAGTAGTGGGTCCCCGACGGGGGGGTGGGGGCAGGAACGTCACGTCTGGCGCTGGCGCAATCTAGGGAGTGTCTAGGAATAGCCCAAACAGCTCGGAGGTTGGCACGAGTCGTGGCGTCGCCTGGAGGTGGGGGGGAGGGCGGCCAGGGCCGGTGGTGGCCGCTATTCGCGAAGCATCCTCCTCCTCCTTCTTCGAAAAAACGTGAAGCGGGGGCGACGACAGGGGGGCTCGGGCTGCCCAGGGGGGAGGCATCGACCCCCACTCGCCCATGCATCGCCAGACGGGGCCCGGTGCCCCGTCCCGCCGCGAGCACGTCGCCGCGCTGTCGGCGAGGTGCAGTGTTGTCGTCTTGCTCACTGTTTTGCCGATCGGCGCAGGACCTCGCCCCCCCTCCCCTCCCCCGCCCCCACATGGAGTAGATCTTGGCTGTTTGGGGCGCCTGTGTCAAGCAGATGGAGTCTCCCCCATACCGCGGTAGGACGCACTGCTGCAAGCAGTCGCATCAAGCAAAGGTCCCGAGCCAGACCCCCCCCCTCCCCCGTTCGCTCCATGTCGAAACGCCGAAGAAGAAAACGTTCACAACTCGCCGACTCGAGGTCATGTTTCCCCCCTCCTGGGCCAGTCCCCCCCCTTTCGACCCCCTCAGCTTCAGACGACGGCAAGCAGCCGACTTCTGCCGCCTGCTGACGCGCCCTCCTCCAAGGGGGGGGGCGGTGGAGGTGGGGAAGGGGGGGGGGACGGAGAGCTCATCGAAGCGGAAGCGAGTTGGGACGGGGTCAGGATTCAGGGTTGCCAAAGGCTTCAGGGGTTGCCCGAGGGAGCTCGTTTCGGCGCCCCGTGTGGGATGCCCACGGCTGGGGCGCCGCCAGGACCTGCCGTGGCCCCGGGTCGCTTTCGCTGAAGGGCGCTTTGCAAAAAGGGCGGCTCTGTCCCCCCCCCCCCACCGGCCATGTCTCCCGGAATCCATCCTGAATCCTGACCCATCTCGTCGGGGGCCCCGAACATGAAACGGCGTGGCGTGGGGATTTGAGGTCACCGCAGGGCTTTGGGATTCGGGCCGCTCTCCGAGGTCGTCTCGGGGCGGCTGCGGCCTCCAGTCGTGGGCGAACGGGCCCCAGTCCCGAGCGCGGCGTGCCCGAGTGCGATTTTTTTCCGTAGTTTGGCGCCCGTTTCGCCCGTGGGTGTAGCGACCTTCAGTGGTAGATGTTCGCGTGGTGTGACGTGCGTACGGTCTGGATAAGCATGTGCGATGTTCGTGGTGTACAGAGTCCGGCTTGAATAAGGAACACTTACTTTTCAAAAGGGTCTCGGTCGTTCCTTTGGTCTGCATGCATTCCGCTACCTTTTTGGCGGCGAGCCCCCCTGGTGTCCCTGGTGTTCCCCTGGGGGCATCGTTCCTTAATTATCGTTTCTTAAGTCAGGCCGAAAACTGTAGTGTTGTGGCCGTGCGGCGACGGACCGCGGGGTGGGGTCTCTTGGGACTTCGAGGTCACCGCGCGGTCTTGGGACCCCCGAGAAGTCTCTCGGGGCGGCTTCGCCCGCGGCGAGCGGACGCTGCGAGGAGGCCCCAAGGGCTAAGTCGGGCATGTCCCTCTACAGGAGGAATGTTCAAAAGCAGTAAAAATAGTCTGGGGACGATTTGTTGGACAATTTTGTTTTTTCTTTGGGGGCATTCTTTGGCTCTTGCTTCTTTTCCCTCAAAAATCCGCCTGCAGGAGGACATGCCCGACCCAACCCAAGAGGCACGAATTAGAAACGCCTGATATGGCTGCCGCCGTCTCGGCCGGCCCTCCTCCGATCTCCGGCGCGCCCGAAGCCTTGCTCTGCTCAACACGGGGCCCGCATAAGCTGGAGGGGGGAAGGAGGAGGAGGACGAGGAGGAGGAGGAGGAGGAGGAGGAGGAGGAGGAGGACGGAGAGGAGGAGGAGGAAGAGGAGGAGGAGGAGGAGGAGGACCCCCTCCCCCTCTAACTTCTGGTGGTGGTGGTGGTGGAAAACAAGCCCATCACGAAGCGTTTCCGGGGGACGTGGGCCCTCGCCTCGATGATGCTCCGCGGCGGCGGCGGCCACGGGCGCCGGCCCAGCACCCCAGGCCGCGACGGCCGCTGCGGGCCCCACCAGCGGGCCGCCGGCACTGGCGGAGCCCAAGGACCGTTCCCTCACTCATTGCCCCCTCCTGCGCCTGCTCCTCGAGCAACGACTCGCAGCGGCCCTCGTCCCCGGGCCGAGCCGCGCCACGCCCCTACGCGGCCCCTCCCGCACTCTGTAGCAAAGCCCCGCCGCAGGTGGCGAGAGCCCCGCCAAGGAGGAGGGCGAGAGGGAGGGAGGCCCCGCCTGGTCGGTCCGCTTCCCCTCAGACCGTGTGCACACCCTCGTCGGCGAGGGACCGGTTCTCGGCACACATCAGAGACACCACCCCGCTTCCGGCAAAAAGAAAAAATCTGAAAGAGAGACCCAGACACACACACACACATCCCATATCTTATTCACTAAAGATAACGGTATCCCAACATAAAGTACCAAGAGACAAACATTCCCAGTGTAATTCCCCTCCGTGCCGTGCACTAACATTGTGTTTGAGGCGAGGGCTCCCATCCCTCTGAGAAAAGTAGGCTGGCCGATCTTCATGCGGCCCCATAGGGCCTAGGCTGAGACTCTCGCAGCCCTCCGTGGAGGGCTGGCGCGGCTTAGCGCCTTCTCTGTTTCTTGCGTTGCCCCGCTCTCGCTTCCCCATCGTCATCTCCGTCAGCACCACCGTTTTTGAACTCCAGCAGCCACTTCAGCAGCAGGCCGTCCAAGGTGTGCTGGGGGGGCACGTAGAGCTGATTGTTACGTATGGCATACAGATCTCTCAGTTTGGACCGAAACTCGACATCGCACCGCTCCTGCATCATGAAGGCCCACACCAATGGGCGACCCTCTTTGTACGTGGGATGGCGCTGCCGAGCACGAAAAAGGACGCTGTCCAAGGCTGGCGGGGTCAGCGCAGCGTGCTTCGCTACTAAGGCCTTCGTCTCCCCGTTCGTCTCCGCCGCCGCCTCGACTTTCTTCGAGAGCTCCATCATACATCACCGAACGCTGGCTGCCACCCAGCACGTGTGCACGCAGATCCTTCTTCTCACCCATGTTCGAGTCCACGCCACCTGCTTCCTCACGCCTTGCTTTTTCATCCTTTCGCCACAAGGCGCGGAGCTGGCTGACCGACTGCTTTTCCTCTTCCCCCTTCAGGATGGCAACGAAGCTGGCGTGGTCCTCGAGGCAGCCCATGCGTCGGTCCAGCGAGATCAGCACGGGCACCATCTTGCGCACAACCGTGTATGCCGATGCTCTCCTCTGATCGTCTTTTGCCCCACGGCCTGTCTGTTGCTGGCTTGGCCCCGCACCGCCAACTGTCGGCCCCGCCGATGCCAGAGCGTCAAGCATGGACATGGTGGAGGCACGCTGTGGAATGTTCCCTGGCCAGCCTCGAGAAACACGTATATCTCGAAACTCTCGAGCACATATAGCTACAGCTACAGCGGGAGGCCAGTGATTTTGCGGTGATGCTGGCATATTTCAAAGTGTTGCGCGAGGCTGTGCCGCTTTTCCTACTTGGTGCTGCAATACTTGCGCTGGAATTACCATGATGTGATGCTTGCTGGGGAGTGCTGCTTGTCCCTTCGTGCTGCTCTGTGTCGAACCCCCTTCACCCACACTTCGTACGGCGCATGCGTGCATGTATAGATATGGTCCATCGTGCTCACATATTGCCCACAGTACTTGCACGAGACGGTCACGCCCTTGGTGCTCACCTGCTTCCTCACCCTCGGCTTGGCGACTGCTTTGGCGAGGCGACGACCGCGACGAGGGGGAGCCTTCGGCTTGGGGTCCTGTTGCGGGTGTCCATGTCCGTGGCCTTTGGGAGCAGCTCGTGGGGGTTGTTTTCCTCGGTAGCTCCGCCTCGTCTGTGGTGGTCCTCCTCCTCCTATTTCTCCTCCGCCTCCTCTTCCTACTGGATGTCCTGGACCAACTGGGTGCGCTGGCACCAGTGGGGGACGTTGGATGGGCGGCTGCTGAGGAGGTTGTTCGAGACCGGGAGGGGGTCCCACTGGAGACTGTCGGGGCACAGGCTGCGTTCCTCTCATCCTCCTCACGCTGACGGCTCCCGGGAAGCTGGCTCAGTGGACACATCGACGGACATGATCGGCACGAGAGCGATTCGATATCACAACTTCGCAGTGCGGGCGTACCTTCCACGAAGACAAGAGACGTGGTTTTTCTGGTCGGAGCTGGCCCGAGCAATGGCGAACATGCTTTGCGTACCCATTGGGGTGGAGGTGGTCTCCACACTTGGGGCGTAACCACAGCTGCGCGCCGCCGTGGCCCTGTTTGTCCACCTTGAGCGCCGTCTGCGGGTTCTCGGCGGGCGGGCGATCGCCGATCTCTGCGTTGGCAGCGGCGTAGGCCTTGGCATGCACCTCCTTCTTGACCTTCACTGCCAGCTCCGCCAACGTCAGACATGCCACGTCTCGCCAGCGGGAGTGCCACTCGTCTGCGGGGAACTGGGTCTTGGCCACCACTGGCTGGATCTGGCGCCAGTGCCACTGCCGCAAATGGAGATGTTGCCCCGAAGGCTCGGCTCGGCCTGGACGGTCGACGAGAGCGGCGCCTAACATCTTGACCTCCCAGCGGCTGTCCTCGTAGCGCCCGAAGTGTCCGATGTATGAGATAGTGCGGTGGATCACCTGCACCTCGATCAGCTCTAGCCCTAGCCACTCGCAAATCATCGTCGTGTTGATCTTCTTGGCCTCCATCTGGCGGAGCGTCAGGCCTCGAGCACGATATATCGGGCATCGAGCGCAGCTGCCCACAAATGACTGCATGCGATCTAGATCCTCGGCCTGGTACGCTCTCACCACGCTCCCGTAAAAGACGCATCCTGTCACGGCCGCCGTGAAGATCTGACCCTGTGCTTTCAGCGGTAGCTTGGCGGCGCTCATCGGGTACTTCAGCTTGGCCCACACTTTGGACGCCGCCTGCATCCTCTTGCTCGCGTCCATTCGGGCGCCGCCGTCGGAGTCGATCCACGCGCTGAGCATGCGGGCGGCGTGGTGGAAGCCCTTTGGCAGCTCGCCACCTTCGTTGTAAACGCCTGCCCTCCAGGACTCGCCCTTGTCAGGATGCGCTTCCTCTGCTCGATCGCCTAGCGCGTCGAACACCATCTTCGTCGTTGTCTCGAGGTGCGAGGTGCTGGGCCTCGGTCCACGATTGCGCATCGTCGGCGAAACCCATGACTCGAAGGACCCCCTGAGCCTGATCTTCTGAGTCTCGCCACGCCCGGCGCCCCATTGCACGCCGCAACCGCTTCGAGCACGTCAATTTGATGCCAGGCAGGCGATCCAGTAGCTCTGTCAGGGAATAGTTGTGGTATGCATTGAACAGCCCACAAGAGCTGGCACGCCCTTCGCGCAAACCTCTGAACTAATGGTATACAGTGGAGGTCCCATGGCGCAACTTGACCTGGTACTCTGTCTCGGAGTGTAAGCGGCGGAACACTGCGACTAACGTCGGCGGTAGCCCCTCTGTGCGGAGTGCTTCCCAGAGCGGCTCTCGAGGCGCGGTGGGGTAGGCTTCCTTTATGTCGGCTAAGTAGAGCATGGCCCGCTTCATCTGGAAAGTCTCGTACTCCTCCTCCCACTTTGCCCGATGCTGATCCCATGTCCCCGCTCGTTCGCACGCTGTCCTGGACCGATATAAGTGCAACTCCCACTCGGCATATAACTCGCAGGTCACCCGTAGAATCAAGATAATGTCCCGTGCTGATCTCCCTTTTTTGAAACCCTATTGTTCGTTGACAAACATCCTGCTTCTCGAAATAGTCGGTCGCTCGTTTGATCGCAATTTTGGCTATGATTCGCGTCAGCATCGTGAGAAGGCATATGCCTCGATAGTTGTCGAGTGACGTGCGAGAGCCTTTCTGCTTCCATAACATCAGTACTACGGCTTGGTGTGCAGCTGTATTCCGACGCGGCTGGGCCCCATCCTTCGGAGCCTCCTCCCACATCGCACACATCTCCTCGAACACTCTCTGCTGCGTCGTTATCGGGGCGCTCCGGATCATATCAATGGTCACCTCGTCTCCTCCCGGGGCCGATGCTCGCATTCCTCTCATCGCAGTCGCATACTCGTCGAACAACGGCAGCGAGTCGAGCTCCTGGGCCATTGGTTTCGGGATCGTGTGCGCGGCCACCTGGACCTTCGGTTTTGCCTTCGTGCCGCTGATTTTCTGGAAGTGCTGGCGACAATCCTCGGGCTTGATCGTCTCGACGTCCTGGAAGTTGGTGTCCCTGAAATTTACCGCCAACTCTTTGAGTGGCCCACGTTGCCTCCCCACCTCGTGGTTTGTGTAAGCCCACTGGATCTCTCTGCACAACTCCTTCATATTCTGGCCCTTCTTTTGATGTTCGAACCCCCCCTCGACTTTTTTGACCTGGGCGTGACGGGCTTTCTCTTCGGGGAACTTCGGGGTGCCTCTGGCCTGCTGGACCAAACGATAGCTGGCTGCAACTCGCTCTCGACTTCTTCATCAGATCGGGCAGACACGGCAGATCGCTCCGACGAGACCCACGACCCACGATTTGCTCGGCGACCTTGGCGATGCTCGCTGCTACCTCTCCCCATTCGGGGATCGTGGCTCGATTTTGGCTCGCTAACTCTGCATCGACCGTCGACAGCTTCTCTGCCCACTTTCTCCGAAGACCCTGTGATATGTCCCCATGGTCCTCTGGCTCGGTCCCAACGTAGCATTTGTTTTGTTTTGTCTTCTTGGACGTTCTGGAGCTTCTTTCAATCTGGGAGGAGGGCTCGACCGAACGGCAGGAAGGATACAAACTTGCCCCGATGGTCGCACCCCGCAAACTCCATCGTCGTCAACCTCCTCCACCTCCTCCTCATTCCCCCAAGTGTAGATAGGAACACATCCTGCTCGTATCACTTCTGTAGTACCCCATGGAACCATGTCCCCCTGCCTGTGCACGGAAGGTAAGAGTCCACCGCCCTCAAGTTGTCCCCTTGGGCCCAATCGACAAGTTGGTATGACATCTTCGACGTGGGGGTGTTCAACGTCATAGTTCCAAGGAAACCTGAACTCTTGTCCCCCTTCTGGTCGGCCCCCAACTGCGAGTTCGCGTCGCCACCCACGATCACTTGACACCCCGAGCGTCGTAGATTTCGAAGTAGAAGGCTCCCCTGCTCGAAGTGTTCTTTCCTCTGGTTCTTGGCCGCCGTGATCCCCTGGGTGGGAGCATACTGCGCACATATCACATACTGCGTTCCTTGCAAACGACATCTCATGCCTAACCATCGGTCTGATTCGGGCGCCACTGCCATCACCGATCCGTCCTGCCGCCACTGCGTCACAACATACCTGGATAGCACGATAGCCACTCTGTCAACAACAGACATCGTATACTCTTCCATACCACAGATCGCTGGCACGCGCTCGCCTCCGAAGATCCAGCCTGGCGTGTGCACGTCTGCCAAACACATGTTGCGAGCCCTTTTCTGCGCGCATCCGTGTCACGATGTGCGCGAGCATACTGCGATACATAATCTGAGTCCAAGACATCTGCTGTACATTCAACGTTCCAATGCGAAGCTCCGCGGGCTTCTGGAGGGCGTTGCAGGCGTGCCACTTCCGTCGTAGACGTATAGCCTTGCCAGTGCTGCATGAAGCAAGCCATGCCGATGATGGCATTGCGGGTGGCGGTTGTGGATCGGACGCAGGGACGCCAAACACCTGCGCGCGGAAGGCTCGGGGCCTCATGTTGGTTGTGAAACGTTCTGCCTCGCGGCCGACCATCATGACGGACTGTCCCAAATGGATATTCCCGCTGACCTGCTACCTGATAGTAACAACATCCGCCCGCGGCCCCCCCGATCCCCTGGCGCCGATTGGAGGCATTCCCATGCTCGAACCAGGCGCTCCTGCTCCTCCTCCTCGTCCTCCTCTTCCTCCTCTCTCCTTCCTCCTCCTCCTCCTCCTCCTCCTCCTCCTCCTCCTCCTCTCCTCCTCCTCCTCCTCCTCCTCCTCCTCCTCCTCCTCCTCCTCCTCCTTTCTCCTCCTCCTCCTCCTCCTCCTCCTCCTTCTCCCTTCTCCTCCTCCTCCTCCTCCTTCTCCTCCTCCGTTCTCCTCCCCTTCTGAAATTTGGCCCCGCGGCGTTCGGAGCCCTCGAACCTTCTCCCAGGTATGGCCGTGTGGTGCTGTTTGGGGACGGTTCTGGGGGTCTTTCGGTTATGATGTGCGTAGGCGACAGTGCGGCTTGGCCGTCGTCGCGCTTGCCGTGCCTTCCTTGGGCCGAGGAGCTGTGTATGTGGCCCATGGTCTGGATCCTCCCCCCCTCATGTTGATGCCAACGCCCCCCCCCCGCGCGCGATGGTCCCACCCCCCTGTGGGTGTGGTGTGGTGCTGTGGGTGTGGCGTGTGTGTGGCGTGGTACCTGGTGCTCAGGAAAGCTCTGGAGGTCGTCGCCGCCGCCGCCGCCGTCGTCGTCGTCGGAGGGGGGCTCCGGAGGTCGGCGCCGCCGCCGCCGCCGCCGTCGTCGCCGTCGTCGCCGTCGTCGTCGGCGTCGTCGTCGTCGTCGTCGTCGTCGTCGTCGTCGTCGTGGTCGTCCCCCCCCATCCCATCAGGGGGGGGTGCCCGAGGGACCCTGAGACCCGTTCCATCTGGGGGGTTGGCCGTGGGCCAGGAGCCCCGGATCATATATGCCCCTCTGGCCAAGCCAGCAAGGCATGGCGTAAGCGTGATCAGTATTTAGATGTTCCCCCCAAACATGGGAGTAATTGAATTTTTCGTCGGCCTTATTCAAGGACTGGGGTCCCACCAGTTGGTTGTAACCGCGCGACAACGACGACGACAACTACGACTACGATTGCGACTACGACTACGACGACCACAAGTGCTGAAGCGCTGTCGCGAAAATTCCTAGCTCAGAATTTTGTTTGTCAGAAATTGTTTCTTCAGAAGGCGGAGGAGGAGCAGGAGGAGGAGGAGGAGGAGGAGGAGGGGGAGTGGAGGGAAGAGGAGGAGGGAGAGGTTTGAGGACCAGTCCTATTCACCGCCGAGTGAAAAGGGGGAGTCAAAGTCTAAGACTTGCTAAGGCTACACACCGCTGCTGGGTTCAGGATGGGCCTGACCAGGGGGCAGTGGATGTGCACAGATTCCGCCGCGTCCGCGCTCGTCCGTGGCCATCTTGGCGAATTTCATGTGAGCAGCAGCTCCGATTTCTTCGACCGACTCGCGCGATCGCTGGGTCGGTCACGAAAAAGTGCTTCCTCCGCTTCGTTCGGCGGCGAGCCTGGGGGGGCAGGTGAGAGAAGGGCGGGCCTTCTCAGAAGGCTCGGAATGCCTCGGGCCTCAGAGGAGTTGTCCTAGCCTTCCCCTGAGGACGCAGAAGACCTCTCGGAAGGCCAGAGGCCTTCCGAGAAGCCCCGCCGCCTTCCGATAAGGCCTCCTCCTCCTCCTCCTCCTCCTCCTCCTCCTCCTCCTCCTCTTCCTTCGACCGGTTCGCGCGATCGCCGAGGCCGCGACGAAAAAGGTTCCCCCCTGCGCCGCGTCGCCGGCCCGCCCAGGAGGCCTCCTGGCGCCAGCGGCTCAGCCCCCGCGACCGCAGGACGGGGGGGGGGCGGGGGGCTCGAGGGCGGGGAGCGGGGGCCGAGGCAGGGCCCGGGAGGAAGGGGAGGGGGCGAGGCTGAGGGTGGGGGGGGGCGATCCCCTTCGTCCTCCTTCTTTTCGGGCCCCCGTCCGTATTTCCCCCCTTCGTACCTCGCCGGCCCCTTCAACGGTGATCGGCCCATTTGCGGAATGGTCCCCTCCTGCGGTACCAGACGGTACGTGCAGGACGGGGCCAATGGCAGCACCCTTGAGGACCTCATGCCTTCAGGATAGGATATGAGGGGCAAGGCGATGGGGGGGGAGGATTGGGAGCGGGGCGAGGAGGGGGAGGGGGCGAGCACCCGTTGGAGGAGGGGCCAGCAGCAGCAGAGCTGCGCGCCACGCAGGCACCACTGGCTGGCGCTCGAGAGACGCTGTGGATGCGCGAAGAGAGCAACGGTTGAGCTGTCAGATCTTGAGCCAAGAGGCTCCGGATACAGCACCCTCTGGCCATCTGAGACGCGATGACAAACATCACGCAACATTTTTGCCCCTGGTTCCGACCCAGCGGAAACCAAGCTCGTGTTTCTGCTCATGGATGTTTTATCTCACAATGTGGGATAGTTCATGTCCCATGGACATATCCTGGGTGGACGACGGCGCGTCGCCCATCGTGCTTTCCTGATCGGCCCAACGCCCACAGGGGGGGGAAAGACGCAAGTTCGGCCCGGGGGGATAGTAACAGGTTCGGTCCACGCCGCTGCCAACCATCCAAGACCTCCTCCTTCTCCTCCTCCTCATCCTCATCCTCCTCCTCCCCCGCCCCTGAGATCCGACATGGCGAAACAAAGATGCATCACGGCGAAATCCTAAGCAGGGACTCTAGGCCCCGTCTTCCCGTGGCGCTTCTCGAGCCGAATCGATCCGTGATGGTCCCAGGGTGTCCCAGGTCCCGAAGTCGGGCGAAAACGCTTGGCGTGAAAAAGCTGCAACGGCCAGTTCTCAGGGTCTTCTCTTCGTCCTCCCTTCCGATGCAGTGAGGGCGTGTTGGTTACCCGAGTCCAATTCCATTACATGTTTTGTGTCTCTCCTTTCCTCTTCTCCACGCCTCTCCATTTCTTTTTGTCCTGGTAAGTCGTTCCTTCTTGTCGCACCCCCAGACGTGTCGGAAGGGCTGGCCAGGCGTCTCGCCTAAAAAATCGTCGCCACTCATGATCCTGAAATTTGAAATCTGCAAACATTTCAAGGATGGACGGCGGGACGTTTTAAACTTGGTTCTCCCCTTAGCGCCGCGCAAACTCGTTGTTAAAAGTTTGCAACAGCTTCAAGGATGAATATCGGCCCGTTTTCAATATGTGGCTGTCGCTTAAGCGCCGCGTACCTTCGTTATTCAAGTCTGCAACGGTTTCAAGGACTCGTATGGTTGAAATCCCAGGACATTTATTTAGAGTTGCCAGGACGCAACATTCATTTTGATTCGAAGGTTGAAGTCCCAGGAATTGTTCTGGCATGGTTTTTGAATGCCAGGACGCAGCGCACATTGATTCGCGGCGTTCAAGTCCCGGGAACGGCGCTTTGGGACGACTGAGGATTCTCAGACAGTTGTCCTTGTTGTCTTTCAATGAGGCCCTTCCCGCAATGAACATATTTTCGTATAGAGACCTTCGAACAGGCAACTTAGAGGGAGGGTTCATTACAACATTGAGTTTGCACTGGCCCTCCTCATCCTCCTATCCGCCCTTATCCTCTCGACTTCCTCCCAGGGCGCAATCTAAACTGTGTTTTGGCGATTTCGTTGACCGTTTTCGTTGTGCTTTCGCTTTGCGGCAAAAGGCTGGACGAAGTCAGCACGAGGCAGAACGAAAACGAAAACGGTAACCTTTGTTTAGCTCGAGCCTGACCTCCCTACGTTCATGGACAATAATTTCGAAGTCTGTGGCGCAAGGTGCCCCCCTGGACATCCCACATGAGTATTGAGGGTGCCGGAAGTGTAGGGGGCGCGGGTGGACAAAAGTACCCGAAGTCCAATACCATCAGCCATGCTGAAATCAACATTGCTTTCGGGGGCAGAGGGGGGGATCAACATCCCGATCAAATGCGTGAGTCTTCAAATATTTTATCCATGGGCTGTCCACGTCCCATGGGTGGCCCCCCCACTCCATTTTAGGCCTCCCAGATGGGGTCGGAGTAGGTGGGGTCGGAGGATCGCGCCGCATCGCCGATGCAAAGGCGATGCGGCTCGATGCAGAGCCCGATTTCCTCCACGCCGACGTCGCCGATACATCGTCGGCGTCGCTCGTGCATCGCCAGTGCATCGCTGATGCATCGCCGATGCATCTGCGATGCACTTCTGCGATGCACTGGCGATGCGGCGCCATCTCCGACCCCATCTGCTCGGGACCCATCTGGGAGGCCTCTAGTGCTATCCACCTCCCCCTGGCCTCCTTCTCCTCCTCCTCCTGCTCCTCCTCCTCCTCCTCCTCCTCCTCCTCCTCCTCCTTCCCCCCCTCCTCCTTCTTCCCCCCCAATAGGACTGGCACTGCACCCAGGGCGACCGCGGCCAAAGCCGGTCGGCCACCGCCGCAGGAGCCCGCCGCGGGCGAGGCGCCGCCGCCGCCATTGACGCCGTTGGCGCGCCGTCGCCAACGCCGTCGCCGTCGCCGTCGTCGTCGCAGTCGTCGTCGTCGTCGTCGTCGTCGTCGTCGTCGTCGTCGTCGTCGTCGTCGTCGTCGTCGTCGTTCGTTGCGTTGGCGTCGTGATCGTCGTCGTTGTCGGCGTCGGCGTCGGCGTCGTCGTCGTCGTTGGCGTCGTCGCCGCCATCGCCGGCATTGTCGCGGGTTGCCGTCGCTGTTGCTGTCGCGGAGGAGCGGGACGGCAGAGGTGGGCGGACGGGAGTGGGGGGGAGACGGGCGTGGACCTCCCCCCGCCCGTTCGTTCCCCCGTGTCTCCCCCAAGGGGGAGGGGGAGGGATTCAGGAGGAGGAGGAGGAGGAGGAGGAGGAAGAGGAGGAGGAGGAGGAGGAGGAGGAGGAAGAGGAGGAGGAGGAGGAGGAGCAAGAGGAGGCAGGAGAGGAGGAGCAGGAGGAGCAGGAGGAGGAGGAGGAAGAGAGGAGAGAGGAGAGGAGAAAGAGAAAGGTAAAGAGAAAGAGGAGGAGGAAGAGGAGGAGGGGGAGGAAGAGAAAGAAGGGGAAGAACAAGAGAAAACTAATAAACAAAACAAGCAAGAGCAAAAGGAGAAAGGAAGGGAAGGAAGCAAAGAGGGGAGTGGAAGTGGAGGTGGAGGTGGAGGGCGAGGGGGAGCGGGAGCGGGAGCGGTAGGGGGAGGAGGAGGAGGAGGAGGAGGAGAGAGGAGGAGGACGAGGAGGAGGAAGGGGAGGAGGACGAGGAGGAGGAAGGAGAGGAGGAGGACGAGGAGGAGGAGAGGAGAGAGGAGGAAACCAGGACAGGGGAGCAGCAGGAGCAGGAGGAGCAGCAGGAGGAGGAGGAAGAGGAAGAGAGGAGAGGAGGAGGAGGAGAAAAGGAGGAGGAGGAGGAGGATGAGCAGGAGGAGGAGGAGGAGGAGGGAGGACGGGATGGAGGGAAGCAGGGAGAGGAGTGGAGGTGAAGGGGGAGGGGTAGCGGGGGGAAGGGGAGGAGGAGGAGGAGGAGGAGCAGGCAGGAGGAAGAGAAGGAGGGGATGGAGATGGATGGAGGAGGGATGGAGGAGGAAGGGAGGAGGAGGAGGAGGAGGAGAGGAGGAGGAAAAAAGGAGGAGACGAGGAGGAGGAGCGGGAGGGAGGGAGGGATGCAGGAAGGAGAGTTGAGGGGGAGCCGGAGCCAGAGCCAGAGCCGGAGCGAGAACGGGAGGAGGAGGAGGAGGAGGAAGAGGAGGAGGAGGAGGAGGAGGAGGAGGAGGAGGAGGAGGAGGAGGAGGAGGAGGGGCTCCGCCTCCCCACGCCAGCACGGCTGGCAGCTCCCGCCGCCAGGACGAGGCGCTCCGCAAGGCCGCCCGCCTGGACGCCGAGCAGCAGGCGAGGCAGGCGATACAGCGGCGCAAGGCCTGGGGTGCACCAACTAGAAGAACAGCTTAATCCCTTCCTTCCGACGCCGCGTTTTGGTTTTCAAGAGCCCGGGGGCGCCATAATTTGGTCAGAAACGGGACCCGGGAAGGGGGTTCGAGAGTTTTGGGGCCCACAGGCCGAAAAGCGAAACCATGACATTTCCGGTCGGGAGTCGGAGCGCACCAACTATACGCGTGTACCTAAACCGATCTTGGCCAGGCCCATAAGCCATAAACTTTTGGCGCTCCGCGCGGATTTCTGGAACCCGCGCTGCCCCCCCGGCAGCGCCTCCGGCGCCGCCCCTGGCGCGCTCCGCGCGCCAGGGAGTGGGGGTCTGGCGCAGATCCAAAAGATCCGCGCGGAACGCCACAAAAGGTTATGATTATGGCTTTGTTTGTTTTTCTATACATGTGTACCTGCGCCGATCTTGGCCAGGCCCATCCTAGGCCCAGGATCGGTGTATGGGCCTCGACGGTCAAGCCAGGAGGGCGTGTACACGGGCCTTGGGACCAGGATGGGCTTGAAGAGGGAACTCGGAGGAAGGGTTTACTGTAACATCGCGTCTTAGGTTTACACTGGTCCTCCTCCTCCTTCTCTTTTTCCTCCTCCTCCTCCTCCTCCTCCTCCTCCTCCTTGTCTCTACCTTTAGGTGTGTTACCTATGAGAGTCATGTTAAGCATGAGTTGTTGTTATCCCCCGCAATTAACGCGCATTTGTGCTTACTAGTGCGAGCGCGGTTCCCCTGCCTCGCCCTCCCACGCCTCAACCTCTCCCTCCTCGTCTCCATCGTTGTATCACATCATCACTCCCCAGTTCATTCATGGAGCTTGTGCACACTTAGCTGTATAATTCGACAGTTTTGCCAGTGCCCCAGTTTCATGCTTGCGCGCAACGGCTCGCCTAGCGGTCAGTGCCGCGACCGATTAGATTGCCATTGCGTTTTCCCAATTGGATGCGTTTGATGTTCTCAGTCGCGCAGTGCACGGGGCCATCAATAGTGGTAATAGCGCTACTAGCAGCACAACAGCGTGAATAGCAACACAATTCGGCATCAATAGCGTTAGTAGCGTTCTTGGCAGCACAATTCGGCTTGAAATGGCTCTTACAGGCAATGCACCTGACTACCTGCGCTCCCCCTTCTCCTCCTCGCCCCTCTCTGTCCCCCCCTCCACGCTCCGCCCCTGTGCCCCCCCCTCCCCCCCGTACCCGAAGGCGGAGGACGAGGAGCGCGCGAGGGCGTGCGCCGAGGTGTCCGCGAGGGCGGAGGAGGCGCTGCGGCGGGCGAAGGAGCGCGCATCGGCCCCGGCTGGCTCGGCCTGCTTCGATCCCGATCGACTCGACGCGGTGCGGCGCGGCCCGACGCCGGCGCGGCGCCCCTGCGCATCTTGGCGCAGCCTCTGTCTGCTTCGGCCTCGGCCTCCGTGCCGATGCGGCCCGCTGCGGCGCACGCTCCAGCTCGACCCGGCTCCCCGATGCGGTGCCGACGGGCCCCGCCCCCCCCACCTTTGCCGGGATCGGGGTTTCTATCCCAGGGTGCGGTTGGGGAAAGTGGCCCACCTCTGGCGGCGAGCCCAGGGTGTGAGTAAGAGGCCGGCAGGCCTTCTCGGGCGACGAAATCTATACACATCCACTGCTCCCCTGCCAGGCCCATCCTGAACCCATGGGCTGTGTACACGCCCTCCTGGCCGAGCGGGGAGGGCGTTGTGTATACACCGCTGCTGGGTTCAGGATGGGCCTGGCCAGGCAGAAGCTCTCGCGCCCTCTGAGAGGCCGCCTCTGTCTTCCGAGAAGGCTCAGCAGACTGCTCAGAAGGCCAGAGGCCTCCCGAGCCTTCCGAGGAGGCCCGCCCCCTCGGCATTCCCCGTAGCCGGGCTCGCCGTCGACACACGGGTGCTCACAGTTCCCTCTTCCAACGGTCGTTTTCGACGATGTTTCTCCAGCTCCACTTCTGCCCCTCCTCCTCTCCCTCCTCCTCTCCCTCCTCCTCCTCCTCCTCCTCCTCCTCCTCCTCCTCCTCCTCCTCCTCCTCCTCCTCCTCCTCCTCCATCCCTCTCCCCGACGGTGGGGGCCTGTCAGCGCCACACACTCCTCGGGGCACACTGTCAGTGTCAACTGCATGCGGCGGTTGGGGGCAGATAAACCGGCTTTCGTCGTTCTTGCACCAGCCACGTGGCACTTTGCCCGTGGCAGCGGCGCGTTAGCTGCGCCCGTGACCTGGAGATGGGTACCAGGCACGGGGACTGTGCATTTGGTTGAGAGGCGGGGCCATGTGGTCCGTAAGTCCTTCGGGACCTTGTGACCGCTCACCTTGGGGTACAAACCCAGTTGCACATGCCATCCGATTCGGCAGGGGTGACGGTCGGGAAATATTGCGCGGTGACGCGGTTGTCCCCCTACGCACCACGCCGTCTCGGTTGGGCAGCGAGTCGCTTGGCGACGAGGTATCTGCCTTTCCCCTGACCGTCGGTGCTGGCGCCTGCGGGCCCCGTCCTCCTGTCCGGGAGGCCGAGGGTGACGTTTGAGCGTCGCTCGCCGTTCATTTCTTGGACCTATGACACTCATGACACTCCTCCTCCATCCCTTCTACTGCCTCTCCTCCTCCTCCTCCTCCTCCTCCTCCTCCTCCTCCTCTTCCTCCTCCTCCTCCTCCCCATTCCTCCTCCTCCTCTTCCTCCTCCTCCTCCTCCTCCTCCTCCTCCTCCTCCTCTTCTCCTCCTCCTCCTCCTCCTCCTCCTCCTCCTCCTCCTCCTCCTCCTCCTCCCCTTCCTCCTCCTCCTCCCGCTCTACGGTGCTTTGCGATTACGTAAGTACAGTGGGCCCGCATGGTAGGGACGGGCAACCCTCCCACGGGCCCCCCCTTCCGTCCTTGCCTCCTCGGCCCATCCTTGGCCATTTTCGTTGGCCGCGCCCCGCTCGAACAGCTTCGAAATTGGCGTCCATGGCCCTTGCGTCCTTATCGCGCATCTTTCTGATACGGCTTGACTGTAGGGCGGGAACGCCCGCTCTATTTGTCAAGCTCCAGCGATGCCGATTTCCACCCTGCTCTGCCGTCGTCGTTTCCGCCATTGTCTTGAGAATAAAAGCCGCACTGGTTTAGTGAGGCCCACTGTTTCGCATGGCTTGGGGTGCAGTCCCGACAACTTCAAGTCGGAAGATCAATCAAAGTACGGCGGATCTGAAGTCTCCCCCCTTCGTCCGCGCTCGTGCCTCCTATCCCCAGCCCCGTGGTTTCTGGCCGTAATTCGGGCCTCCAACGGCACCCCCACAACGCCCTCGGCGAGGCGCAGCCGTTGGAACGCGTCCCGAGGCTCGAAAACCGCCGAGAACCGACGCAAACGACCGAAAAAAATTCGCACCGAAGCAAGCCAAAACATGTGGAGTGATCGTTTTCTCATTCATTGTTTTGCCGATCGGCGCGGGCCCTCGCACCCCCCCTCCCCCCCATGGAGTAGATCTCGGCTGTTTGTGGTGCCTGTTTCAAACAAGTGGAGTTCCCCCCAAAGGACGCACTGTTGCAAACAGTCGCAGCAAGCAGAGGTCCGGAGCCAGACCCCCGCCCTCCACCCCTTCCGCCGAATGTCGAAGCGCCGAAGCAGAAAACGTTCAGTCTGGCCACATCGTAAGTCCCCCCGACAGGAGCAGGCGCGGTTGGTGCCCCCTGGGCGCGGCGCGGCGATGAGCCCCATCTGATGGGCCAGTTCTCCACCACCACTACCATAGTACGACGGGTGAGAAGGGAGGATGGGGGGGTCCTCCTCCTCCTTCTCCTCCTTCTCCTCGTCGTCGTCCTCCTCCTCCTCCTCCCTTCCTCCTCCTCCTCCTCCCTCCTCCTCCTCCTCCCTCCTCCTCCTCCTCCTCCTCCTCCTCCTCCTCCTCCTCCCCTCCTCCTCCACCTCCGCCTCCTCCTCCACCTCCGCCCCTCCCTCCTCCCTCCTCCTCCTCCCTCCTCCTCCTCCTCCTCCTCCTCCTCCTCTCCTCCTCCCTCCTCCTCCATCTCCTCCTCCTCCTCCTCCTCCGCCTCCTCCTCCCTCCTCCTCCTCCTCCCTCCTCCTCCTCCTCCTCCATCTCCTCCTCCCCCTCCTCCTCCCCCTCCTCCTCCTCCATCTCCTACCTATGGCAGTGGTGGTGGAACATCGACCCATCGCCATCCCCTCGGACGCGCCCGCGCCGGCGCCGGCCTCCGCAGCGGAGGCGCCCAGCGGCTCGGACTCGGGCTCGGACTCAGACTCCGAGGCGCCAGGGTCCTCACCCTCGCTCCTCGAGCGTCTCCTCGCCCTCCTCCCGTCGTCGTCGTCGTCGGCGTCGGCGTCGGCGTCGGCGTCGGCGTCGGCGTCGGCGTCGTCGTCGTCGTCGTCGTCGTCGTCGTCATCCTTCTCCTCTTCCTCCTCCTCCTCCTTCTCTTCCCTCCTCCTCCTCCTCCTCCTCCTCCTCCTCCTCCTCCTCCTCTCCCTCCTCCTTCTCATTCTTCTACTCCTCGCCCTCCCCCATTCCCTTCCTCCTCCCTCCTCCGACCCTCGTCGCTATCCGCCTTGCTCATGCTCCTTGCCCTGCTCCTGAGAAGGAAGAGGAGGAGGAACAGGCCAGGGTACGTACGGGATCCTGTACTCGCTTGTGGTGTATATCATCATCTTGCCCTCGGCCGAGGATCTGACCCCCTATCGTCGAGCCAGATGTCGGGACACCCGTGACCAACCCTTGTCCTCCCCTTCTTCTTGATACTCCAGGCCATAGTCCTCCTCTCCTCGTCCTCCTATTCCTCCTGTTTCCGTTTGTCATCATTATGTTTGCGCTCCATGTCTCCCTTCCCCGTCATTCTCCTGCTTGTCCTCTTTACTCCAAATCCGTCTGCTCCTCCTCCACATCCTGCTCCTCCTCGTCGTTCTCCTGAACTTCGTCGTTCTCCCTCTGCTGCTCTTCTTCCTCCCTCCTTCTTCCTCGCTCCCCTCCTTGTCCTCCTCCTTCTCTCCGTTCCTGCTCCTCCTCATCCTCCTTGGGCCACCCCCTGGAACCCGCTAGAGCGCCCCAGGAATCTTTTGAAACCTCCTGGGGGCTCCCAAGAGCCTCCCAAAACCTTTTTTTCGCCATCCCCAACCCACCCCCACCCCCGCACCCCCGACTGGAATACGAAAGAACTGCACAATGATACTTTCTTGGATCGAAGCTGGGCCCCGCCCTGGCGCGCGGAGCGCCCTATGGGCGGCGCCAGAGGCGCCGCCAGTGGGGCCTAGCGCCGATCCAAGAAGTCTGCGCAGAGTTCCCGAAGTTTGTGTTTGGGCGTTTGTGTTGTTCCTCTACCCACCCACCCTGCCCTCCCCCCTCCTCCTCCTCCTCCTCCATTATTATTATTTTCCTTATATATATATCCTCTTTGTCGCAGCCCGAGCCAGGCGACTCGCCCAAGACTACCTCACCATTTGTAAACCTGAAGCTTGAAAGTTTGCAAGAGCTTCACGGATGGAGGAGGGGGTCTTGAAAATGTGGTTATCGCTTTAGCGCCGCGCATATTCGTTTTGAAAGTTTACTAGAGTTTCACGGGTGGAGGGCGGGTCGTTTTCAAAATGTGGTTCTCGCCGTAGCGCCGTGCACATTCGATTTGAAGATTTGCAAGAGTTTAATGGAGGGCGGGCGGTTTTCAACATGTGGTTCTCGCCGTAGCGCCGCGCACATTCGGTTTTTTCAAGTTTGCAAGAGTTTAACGGATGAAGGGCGAGCCGTTTTCAACATGTGTTTTTTTTTCTTAGCGCCGCGCGAATTTGTTTGAAGTATTTGCAAGAGCTTCACAGATGGAGCGCAGCTCTTTTTCAATACAGTGCGGACGCGCATCAAGAAACCATCTGCTTTTCGTCAGGGTATCCTGGGTTTCTACGCTCCTCGCGCTACGCGGTGACTTCCGCAGCCGTTGAAAGAGCTGCTGCGTTCAGGGTGCCCCGGGTTTCCCCTCAGGTGTGCTTCGCGCACGGGTTTTCAGGGTTGGGTTTCTTGCGAGGGTTTCTTGCGGCCGCGCCCGCACTGTACTGTGATGATTGCTTCAGCGCCGCGCATTCGTTTCAACAGTTTAGAGCAGTTTCAAATATTGTTATGGTTGACGTTCCAGAAATCATGCTTCGGCACGATTTAGGGTTGTTAGGGCGCGACCTTCACGTTGGTTCGCGGGGTTCACTTCCCAGACATGGTGTTCTGGTACGATTTCGGACCGCCAGGTCGCAACAGTAACGTTGAGTCGTGGCGTTGAAGTTCCAAGAGTGGCATTCGTTTTAAACATTCGCATGAGATTCACGGATGGAGGGCGGGTGGTTTTCAAAATGTGGTTCTCGCTTTAGCGCCGCGCACATGCGTTGTAGAAATATGCAACGCTTCACGGATTGGGGCGGTTCTTTTTCAAAAATTAGTTCTCGTTTTTAAGCCGCGCACGCTCTTTCTAATCATGTTGCAAGAACTCTTCACGGATTGAGGGCGGGTCGTTTTCAATGTGTGATTCTGCCGCCGCGCACATTCGTTGTAGAATTTGCAAGGGTTTCACCGATTGAGGGTGGTTCCTTTTCAAAACGTGGCTCTCGCTTTTGCGCCGCGCACATTCGTTTTTTACATTTGCAAGATTTTCATTAGTTCTCATGGCTCACGTACCAGGAATGGTGTTTTGGAGCGGTTCGGGAATGCCAGGGCGCAACAGTTACAATGCTTCGCTGTGTTGAAGTCCCAGGTATATTGTTCCGGTACGATTCAGGATCGCCAAGACGTAACAGTCAGGTTAATTCGTGGCGTTAAAGTCCTGAGAATGGTGTTTTTGGCACGCTTCAAGATGTTCACACGGCTGTCCCAAAACAGGGACATTCCCTCAGAACAAAGTAGCCCTGTGTAGTACGGGCCTACAAAAGTGATCTTGGGGGAGGGAGGGTGTGTTTCAACATCGTCGAGGAGTCTTGGGTTAACAGTCGTCGTCGTCGTCCTCCTCCTCCTCCTCCTCATCCCTCCTCTCTTCTCCCTCCTCTCTCCTCTCTTCTCCCTCCTCTCTCCTCTCTTCTCCCTCCTCTCTCCTCTCTCCTGACCCCCTCTTTCCTCCTCCTCCTCCTCCTCCTCCTCCTCCTTATCCTCCCCCTCCCCCTCCTCCTCCCCCTCCTCCCCCTCCTCCTCCCCCTCCGCGGCGCACTCCTCGGCAGGTGGACGAGATCGCCCTCCGAGCGGAGGAGGCTCTGCGCAAGGCTCGGGGTCTGCCAGGGGGGTCCCCGGCCCAGGGTGCCCCCCCAGCGTCTCGCGCCATTCCGGACGCACACCTCCAACGTGCTGAGAAAATCAACTGCTCCTCGTCTTCCGCCGCCTCCTCGTCCTCCTCCCTTTCTTTCCTCGTCCTCCTCTTCTTCCTCCTCCTCCTCCACCACCTCCTCCTGACGGAGGTTCTTCGCAGCTTTCGGCGGCTTGGGGCCTTCGCTGGGCCCCGGGACTGTCACAATGCGATCCTCTGGCGACACGGTGCAGGGCTCCGGGGACCTCGCCTGGGAAAAGCCAGGACATCGCAGGTCTGGGGAGCCTTCTGGCGCCTCTCGTGGGCCTCTCGACAGGGGTGGTCTCGAGGCCCGCTCGGCCTTCCCCTGGGAGCCCCAGGAGACGCCAGGGGGCCAGGCACACATCCCCTGAGTTCCGAGGTTGCGAAAATCATTGCAGCATAACGAACAAATCACGACTGGGGCCCTGGACACACCCCGAGATCCTGGCGACTCAATTTTTTCGAGCTGGGCGTTTTCGTTCGGTGTCGGGCCCCGGGACCCTCACAGATCGATGCGACTCGAAAAATGGCGCAAAAAAATAGGGTCTAGGGCTCCAGGCTCGATTTTTTCTCAAGGGAGGATAAGCCACCCGGACCCGACAAGATGACGTTTGCGAAATTGCCCTGGGCGTTCACCAAACAGCCCTGCCCTGTTCGATTCCTTCTTTGGGTGCGTTTGCTGAATGACTGCGCGTGTCGGGGTGATCCTCCTCCGCCTCCTCCTCCTCCTCCTCCTCCTACTCCTCATCCCCCTCCCCCTCCTCCTCCCCCTCCTCCTCCTCCTCCTCCTCCTCCTCCTCCTCCCCCTTCCCCTCCTCCTCCTCCGCCTCCTCCTCCTCCTCCTCCTCCGCCTCCTCCTTAATGGGGGTGGATGTTCTGCTCTCTGGTTTTGAGACGTCGGATCTCAGGAACAAACATCTGGTGCGGCAGCTGTTCACGATGGGTCGATCTGCGACGGCTTCTCGGGGGCCCAAAAAGCACAGGGCGAAGAAGCGCCCTGTGCGAGAACGTGGCAGGGACTAGGTGGTCAAGTCGGGCCTGTCCCTCTACAGGACGAAGGTTCAAAGATAGTCAAAAAATAGTCTGGGGACGATGTTTCGATTATTTGTTTGACTACGTTTGAACACATTCTTGGGCTATGTTTGAAAAACTGTTCCTCCAAAATCCGCCTGTAGGGGGACATGCTCGACCTAAGCCTCTGGCCCTCAGAGACCTCTCTCCGCCGACACCCGAGATGGCCATGGAGGAGGAGCGTCCTGGCTCGCCTATAGGCCTACTAAAACATGTTCTAAGAACCTCTTGTGGTTTGCACGAAATGTTCTTAGAGCATTTCCGGCTGGGACGGTCTTATTTTAACACATCGGGCTTATTTCCTAGGAACTTTGTTTTTGTTAGAACATGTCTGGGTTCTAAGAACATGTCGTGGCAGGCCTATCGGAATGCCGGGACGGTCGGTCCCTGCTCAAAGAAGGCCATGGAGGAGGAGCAGGCGCTGCTCCGGGGCGAGGACGAGCTGATCTACCGGCCCGCGCCCGCGCCCCCCCCCGCCATTTGGACGGCGCCCGCCGAGCAGGCCGCGTCAGGGGGGGGGCGTTAGGAGGGGGAGGGGGGGCAACGGGGGCTCCCAGGCGTCCCCAGATGCTCCCCAGGCGCCCCCAGGCGCCCCCAGGCGGTCCCCAGGCGCTCCCAAGCCTTCCCAGGCGCTCCCAGGCGCTCACAGGCGCTCCCAGGCGCTGCCGAAAAGGGACCCTTTCGGGCCCCTGAAGGGGCCCTTTGGGCCCAGAAGGGGGCCTTGAGGGCCCGAAAAGGGTACCTTCCTTCCCCCTCCATCTGCCCGTCGGTCGTTGGAAGTAGGTATTTCTACTGGTCACCCAGATCCCAATCTACTTTTTCGGCGCCTTCCTGCTTCACGAGTCGAGGGGTTTTACCTCTTCCCTCCTCTTCTGGGGGCGGGCGGAAGTCCAGTCTATTTCTAACGCCTTCCTACTTCATCGCCCCACGTTAATTCTCGCCCAACGGCTGTTCACCTATTTCGATCGCCCCACATCAGTTCGCGCCCAGCGGCCGTGTACGAGATCAGCTCGATGCCCGCCGCCGCGCGCGCCGGCACGCGCGGGAGCGTGCATCGAGCTGGTCTTTGCTCATGACGGTAGGGCCGCCATATAGTTTGTGTCGTGCCGGCGCGGCTACGACCCCCGCGCAGGCGATCCAAGCCGAACACCGCCAGTGGCCCAAGCTCGACCAGCATGTGAAGAAGAAACAACTCCGAGGGGGGCCATGTGTACATGACCACCGCCTGGACGATCAATCTTCGGGGGCCCCGGCAGGCGGTGGATACGGACATATTCGGACCCCCAGGGGCCCAAATATATCCATATCCACCGCCCGCTGGGCCACCAGGACGTCGGTTCATAAGGCGGTGGATATGGATAAATTCCCGCCTCGCATAAACGCCATAAACATAAACTTTTGGCGCTCCACACGGATTTTTTGGATCCGCGCTGGCGGCGCCTCCAGCGCCGCCCCCGGCGCGCTCCGCGCGCCAGGGAGGAGGGCCCAGCGCAGATCCAAGAAATCCGCGCGGAGCGCCAAGAGTTGATGTTTATGCCGTTCTGTTTTATTCGAAGCACAGAACGATCTGACGATCGAAAAACTGCGGATCGTTGAAGCTGAAGCGATCCACGCGGTGTCAGAGACCAACGCCGATGTCACGAAACGAAGCTGCCATACCAGACCGGCTCGATGCACGCCGCCGCGCGTACGCGCGGGAGTGTGCATCGAGCTGTCCTGGTACACCCCAGAGGATCGAAAACCTTCATTATGGAAGTCGAACCGCCGACTGACATAATGGAGGGAGAGCGCATCCAAACTGGAGGTCGAACCTCAAATTTTGACGGTTTTTCATTTTTTGATTTTCCAACGCTGGGTCTCCGGAGCTGTGGACCTTACCCTGGGGGCGGGTTCTTCGCCCCGGATCGTTTCTTGGCGGCCCCGGGGCCTGGTGAGGGCCCTCTCGGCGCCGAAAACGACGAGAAATTTAGGTATTTATTTTCTGAATGCGCTGGAGGTCTAGGTAATTGCATCGGGCGGGTCTGGGACAGGGATCATATTCGTTCCAAAGCGTTCTGGAACGCTCTGAGAAGGCCGCGGCGCCTGCTGTCGCCTCCAGAGCCGCAGGATCTCAGAGATTCCCGATTCGTCCTTGTCCGAAGCTATCCCTGTCCTGGTTTCGTCTTAGTGCTCTAGGCCTCCCAGATGGGGTCCGAGTAGGTGGGGTCGGAGGATCGCGCCGCATCGCCGATGCGTCGGCGATGCGGCTTGATGTGGAGCCCGGTTCTCTCCATGCGAGCGTCTTAGATGCATCGCCCGAGTTCGCCGTACGCATCGGCGATGCACCGGCGACGCGGCGCGGTCCTCCGACCCCAGCTGCCCGGGCCCTGATTATCTGGGAGGTCTTCTTGGTCTCAGCGCACAGCTGGCGTCGTCCAAGCCATGCCCAAGCTCGGCCTCGGGGCGCTGCCAGCTGCCTCCGCGGAGGGCGCCCTGGACACCGCGCGGGAGGCGGAGCGAGAGCTGCAGGAGGCTCTGCAGACGGCGCGGACGCTGGAGCGGCAGCGCGAGGAGCGCGCCGCGGGCGGCGGGGAGCTGGCGAAGGCTCTGCAGAGGATCGAGGGAGTAAGACACGGCGCAAGCATGCGGCTTCAGTCGAGGCGCTGGAAGAAGGCCCGCCCTTCTGCCACGCGCAGGGGGGGGTGGTGTGTTGGGGGATGGGGGAAGGCTTCTGAGACGCACCCCTGCTGCTCGGAAGGCGCGGGCCATGTCTGCCGATAGAAGGCTGGCGCCTCCCAAGAAGCAGCCTCCTCACGGAATCTACACATACCCACTGCCCCCCGGCTGGGCCCCTCCTGGGCCCAGGAGCTGCGTATGCGCCCTGCTGGCCAAGGCAGGAGGGCGTGACGGATACACCGCTGCTGGGTTCAGGAGGGGCCTGGCCTTGGGGCAGTGGATTGTACAGATTTCGTCGCCCTGTCGAATCAACAATTACTCAATATGAATAATTACTACTCTCCCTCTTCCCCTGATGACGTCTTTTGCGTATTCGCCCCCCCCGCGCGTACTGTTTTTTACACACAGATTCCCCGGAGTTGGGTTTTCGCCTGCGTTTTTTTTCAAAATGCTGCTCTCGCTGAGGCGCCGGCCTCATTTCTGCTCCCGAATCGTTCCGAATCGTGCTCCCGCTGCAGCGTGGGCCTCATTTTCGGATCGGTGTTTGGCCTCCGTCGTTCAGGATGGCGTTCTCGCCCCAGCGCGGGCCTCTTTCTCGCGCGCCCATCCGCCCGCCACCACCGCGCCGCACCACGCCCCGCCCCGCCGCACGCACACCCACCGCCACTTCCACCCACCAACGCACGCACGCACGCACGCGCACCACCACCGCGCACCGCCACCACCACCGCACTACCCCACCCACCACCACCACGCTACACCGCGTCACACCACATCACACGCGCGCACACACAGACACACACGCACGCACGCACGCACGCACGCACGCACGCACGCACGCACGCACGCACGCACGCACGCACGCACGCACGCACGCACGCACGCACGCACGCACGCACGCACGCACACACACACACGCACACACACACACACACACACACACACACACGCACACACACACACACACAGACACACACACACACACACACACACCACCACCGCCACCACCACCACCGCCATCACGCACGTACGCACCTGGCCCACCACCAAACCACCAAGACGCCACACCACGTCACACCACAGCACACGCGCACACACGCACACACACACACACACACATACACACCACCACGACAACAACCACAACCACGCACACACGCACGCACGCACGCGCACCACCACCCACTACGCACACGCGCGCGGAGCCACAGGTCCGCTACGACACGCGTCCGCGGATAGAGAAAATCAGCGCCATGGTAAGGGATTTGAGGAAGGGTAGGATGTCAGATGTTGACGCGAGCGCACCTAACTTGGCCTTCCCCCCTCCTCCTCCTCCTTCTCCTTCTCCTCCGTCTCCTCCTTATCCTCTTCCTTCTCCTCCTCCTACCTGAGCCCTCCTCCTCCTCCTGCTCCTCGTCCTCCTCCTCCTTCTCCTCCTCCTCCTCCTCCTCCTTCTCCTCCTCCTCCTCCTCCTCCTCCTCCTCCCCCTTCCCCTCCCCCTCCTCCCCCTCCTCCTACCTGAGCCCTTCCTGGGCCCAGACTGCGTGCCGAATCTGCGCTGTTCCCTGAGGAGGAGGCAGGCGTCGGAGGCGGCCGGCGCGACGTTCACGAGCCCGCGGCCCTGAGCGTCCGGGCGCCCCGCGCGGGTGGCCCTGTCGCGGGCGCTCGCCCCTGTCGCGGGCGTCTCTCTCTCTCTCTGTCTCTCTGTCTCTCTCTCTCTCTCTTCGGGGCTCAAGAGACTCCAGGCCTCCTAGATGGGGTCCGCGTAGATGTGGTCGGAGGATTGCGCCGCAGCGCCGATGCATCGGCGATGCCGCTCGATGTGGAGACCGTGTTTTCCCACGCCGACGTCGCCGATGCATCGCCGACGTTATTGGTGCATCGCCGATGCATCGGCGGTGCATCGGCGATGTGGCGCGATCCTGAAACATCATCTACTCGGACCCCATGAAGGCGGTCTCTGGAGACGGGGGTCAATGCAAACGGGGGTCAGTCAGAGCGCCGGATCTTGCAGGATCCTGCCGAGCCAGGGTCGCATTGCCCGGGGTTGGGTGCAGGATCCTGCAGGATACTGCAGGATCTTAGGATCCTGCAAGGCCTGACTAACCCGGGTATGGATTGACCCGGGTCAGTAGATCCCCGATTTCTCTCTTTTTCGGTTGCAAATCATCGGGGCCTGGTATACCCTCTTAATTCCGTCTTTAGCGTCGACTAGCGTCGATTAGCATTTGTGAGCCGATGACATAGCGCCGATTTAGCGTCGGCTAGCGTCGATTTAGCGTCGATGAGCGTCGATTTAGCGTCAACTAGCGTCGATTCGCAAGAGCCGACAAGATGGTATGGGATGCTTCCATGAGTTGCCGCAGAACTTTCTCTCTCTCTCTCTCTCTTGTTTGCTTTTTTTTCGGAAACTGGAACATGTACATTACCAGTGGCGCGCTGTTGACCAATTCCAGGAGTTTTTGAGAGTCGGGGACGACGTCGGGGTGGTGTGGTGTACACCTTTTTCTTATCCGTTTCCATGGGGAACAACGAGAAATGTATACACCAGGGTCCTGTATACACCAGCATCCGATTTCTTGTCCACATTTCAGTGCAGGGCTGGAAACAGCGTCGGTGTGCAGAGTTCGGATCCCTGCTTTGGTGCTGCGGGTTCCCCCGTTTCATCTCCTCTTCTCTGGAGGCCTCCAGCGCCAAGGCAGGTTCGGAGTGCGCCAGCCAAGTACACCTGCGCACACCGATGCTGACTAGGCCCATCCTATACAGTCGACCCGCATAGCAAGGATGGGCAACCTTTCCAAGAAGACCCTTGCATCCTTGCCTGCTCGGCCCATCCTTGGCCATTTCCGTTGGCCGCGCCCCGCTCGAGAAGCCTCGACATGGGGGTCCAAGGCCCCTGCATCCTTACCGCGCATCCTCATGATACGGGCCAACTGTAGGCCCAGGACTGCTGTTTGTTCGCCTTCTCCGATCCCGAGCCCAGTCGGGGGCCTCGCCAGGATCGGTGCAGGTGTGCATCGCTGGCGCGTTCGGCTGCGCCCCGAGACGGCTGCCCGCGGGCTGCTCTCGGACGGGGCCAGGACGAGGACAGATGCGTTCCAGAGCGTTCCGGACCGCTCTCAGAGCGTTTTGGAACGATCTCGGAACGTTCTGGCCGCTGGATTCCCGAGATTCTCGATGTTATCCTCACCCGATGTTATCCTCGTCCTGGCTTCGTCTTTCAGCGCGAGGTGCCAAACGCTTGACCTCGCGCTGGCCGAGGCGCGAGGCGCTTGCCGGTGCTGCGAGGCCGAGAAAGCACGGCCGCTGCGGGGCGCGCGTTTGGGGCGAGGAGGGTCCGAGGCACGACTCGTACGCCTCCAGCGTTCCAGACCTCGGATCCGATCACCAAGCTGTGCACGTCAAGATGTACCTTGAGGCCACGACGAAAAGAAAGAGGAAACCGAAGCAACCGCACCGCGGCACGTGATCCCATCCCCCAGCCGACGACCCATTTTTCCGACAATGCTTGCAACAGCATTTGAGCGACCACAACCACGACGCCGACTTGGACAGTAGGTACCATGACATTGGTGAAGGGCTCAAGCTTGCATGCAAGGATTACCAGGAACACCAAGAGCAATCAGCCAGAGACCTTCAAGGACACGCCAACGACGGACCAACAGCACGGCTCAAGGCACTCATCCAACAAAGACGCGCAACCGCACCACGAGACACAACTGCACGAAGATCCCTTGCAAACAAATCTTTCGACTGACAAGGGCTGTCAAGCGTGCCGAGATGAATGCCGAGCTCGAGGAGATTGTCTGCCAATTCAAAGGACTGAAGAAAATATCTGGGTTGAAAACCAGCAAACACAAAAGTATAATCCCATCAATGACCACAGCTGAAGGTATCGACGAGACAGATAGACAAAGCATAACAGACGTATTCGCGACTCTTTACGAGAAGCTGTACAAGGACCCGCACCGCGTAGCCAGCACCGGCAACACCCACCTGCAGACTCACGACGACTCGACCATCCCGCCTTTCACAGCAAGCGAGCTCCACCAAGCAATCAAACAACTCAAGAACGGCAGGTGCAGCGACACCGCTGGGCTCACGGCAGAATTGCTCAAAGCAGGAGGCACCGTTTTACAATGCCATCTATTTCGAGTATACAACGACACCATCAAGCCTGATCACCCCCCGCCAGGCCAGTGGAAGAGCACCACCATCGTTGTAATGCTCAAGTCTGGTGACCCCAAAACAACCGGGCAATTTCAGACCAATTGCCATCATCGCTTTGCTGTATAAGCTGATGTCTCGCCTCCTTTGCAACCGGCTCAGCGTCTTGTTCGATGCGCAACAATGCCCAGACCAAGCAGGTTTCCGAATGAACTACAGCACAGAGGACCACTTGTTCACCACAACAATGCTTCATGAGAGCTCTCACGAATGGCAGCTGGCTCTCCGGGCCGCCGCAATAGATTTCAAGAAAGCGTTTGACTGCGTTGACCACGACTGTATGTTGGACGCTCTACGACAGCAACATACACCTCCCGCCTGCATCACCTTCATGCAACCCTTATATAGTACCCAAACAAGTACAGTCCGGACGGATACCAACAGCGGATCCTTCAATATCGAACGGGGCGTTCATCAGGGAGACCCGCTGAGCTCTTTCCTTTTCAACGCCGTCTTAGAGCACGTGTTCAGACAAGTGAAACCTGTTTGGTTACGAAAGAAGATCCACCTTGGCTCTTCAGCACAAGCGCGGATCACAAATCTGCGTTTCGCCGACGTGTTGTTTTACGCCACCAACCTAAGACAGCTCACCTGCTTACTTCGTGACATACAAACCCACGCAGCTAAAGGTGGTCTGTTACTGCATCCAGATAAGACGAAGATCCTGACGAGCACTAGCCGGAGAGAGGGGAGAACAATCATCCATGCCGACATCAACGGCGACAGCATCAGCATCCTACATTGCAGCCACGTCACGAAGTACTTAAGCTTATTTTTCACGAATTTCATGACACAGAGCTGCATAACAGGATTGCCGCCGGTGGGGCCCGTTTCAATCAGCTTCGTGACGAATTGACCAACAAACGTTTCCCGCTCCATAGTATATTCAAGTTGTTCAATGGCACTGTCACGCCATCCGTGTTGTACGGCTGCTCATCCTGGATTCTGACGAAGGGGATGCCTCTTATTTTCAGGCGCGTCCAACGGAAAATGCTCAGGCTTGTCACGGGAGTACCGCGGAGACGCAACGAACAACACCAGCACGCGCCCGACACCTCCGACAACGACCGCCACCACAACATGACCGACGCCGACACAGCAAACAACCCGAACTACACAGCCAGCAACAGCGACGAGAGGAATGATGACGGAAAGGAACCATGGACTGGTTACATTCGACGAGCCACGCGCGAAGCCACGGACCATGCTTCCCGAGCCCAAGTGGAATAATGGGTTGCTCTATATTTTAAACGGAAATGGAAGTGGATATCTCGTGTGGCGACACGCGATTGCGACAGGTGGACTTTCTTAGCTGCCTCATGGGAACCACGCTCACACGACCCGCGCCCAGCGCACCGGCGGCACGGAGGTCAACGAAAGCGATGGGCAGACGACATCATGCATTTCTGACGCGCCAAGGGCATGTGCTAAGACCGCGACGACCAGGGACACAACAACCAATGGCGACCAATTGCAGCAGATCAACAGTTATGGGGGGATCTATAAAATGATTTTATATAAAACGCCTACGCCCACTACAACCTATAGGATCTGGGATGCATCCCCGACTCCAGCGTTACGTGCTCTGCCCGCTGTGGTCGTTTCTCCGACTCCTGTTCACACCTTTCCGACTCCGGTTCCCATCCATCTCTCCGGCTCCAGCTCCGACTCCTGCCCCCAACACGTCTCCTGAGGGCTACGGCCCCCCCGCGCCGCCCCATGAGGCCCGGTCCCGCCGGACCGAATTCGCGCGCTCGTCTCTCGCCTGTCGCCTCTCTCCTCCCCTCCTCCTCCTCCTCCTGCTCCTCCTGCTCCTCCTGTTCCTGCTCCTTTTCCTCCTCCTCTTCCTACTCGTCGTCGTCGTCGTCGTCCTCCTCCTCCTCCTCCTCCTCCTCCCCCTTCCGGGAAGGAGGTCCCGCTGTCGGGGACTGGCAGGAGGAGAGAGGGAGAGAGGGACAGTGGGTGGACAAAACGCTGCAAGTTATTTGAGCGTTCTGAGAAGCCGCGTGCCAATGTGGATCGGTTGCCCTTGATGTCCGAGGAATTCCCTCCTCCAAGCATGTCGATGTTGACTTGCATCATTTCGTCCTCCTGGACGTGGGGTACCTCATCGGGGGAGGCCCACATTGAAATGTAGGGGGCGGGGTTAGGCGTTGAGATGGTGTCGCAATCGGTGTGCAGCCGCATGCGGCCACGAACAACTTGCTCGATTTCGTCCTCCCACCGGAGGAACACGAGGAAGAGGAGGAGGAGGAGAAGGAGGAGGAGCAGGAGGAGGAGGAGGAGCAGGAGGAGGGAGAAGGAGGAGGAAGAGGAGGAGAAGCCACCTCCTTACTTTTTGTTCCTGGTTGCCCTGCCCCGCTCCACAAGTCCACAGAGCGGAGGCCAAAAAGGGAAGCACGACGGCGGGTGGACCCCCCCAGGGAGCGGGGCAGCTTTGTCCCCCAGCCCCCCGACTGCAGGGGAAGGGAACAGGAACAGCAGAAACGCCTCCTCTCCTCTTCATTCTTCCTCCTCATTCTTCCTCCTCCCTCCTCTTCCTCCTCCTCCTCCTCCCTCCCTCCCTCCCTCCCTCCCTCACTCCTCCTACTCCTTCCTTCTCCTCCTTCTCCTCCTCCTCCTCCTCCTCCTCCTCCTCCTCATCATCCTCTCCTCCTCCTCCTCCTCCTCCTCCTCTCCTCCTCCTCTCTCCTCCTCCTCCTCCTCCTCCTCCTCCTCCTCCTCCTCCTCCTCCTCCTCCTCCTCCTCCTCCTCCTCCTCCTCCTCCTCCCCCTCCCCCCCCTCCCCCTCGCTCGCCGCCGAGAGGTTGCCGGCCGTGGGGCCGGGCGTCGGGCATCCCATCCGCGGCGCTGAGTTTCCAAGAGCAGCACGGTGGAAGATTGTCAGACGATCGTCTTCCGACGGGGCTCCTCTGCGGGATCCTGGAAGGAGGCCCGCGGAGGGGGAACTCGGAGGGAGGGTTTGCTGCAGCATCGTTGGAGAGTCTTGGAGTCTTGGGTTTGTACGTGTCCTCCTCCTCCTCCTCCTCCTCTGCCTCCTCCTCCTCCTCCTCCTCCTCCCTCCTCCTCTTCCTTTTCCTCTCCTCATCTCTCCTCCTCCTCCTCCTCCTCCTTCTCCTCCTCCTTCTCTTCCTCGTCCTCCTCGTCCTCCTCCTACTCATCATCATTAGCATCACCATCATCACCATCATCACCATCATCATCACCATCACCATCACCATCACCATCATCAGCATAATCATAATCATCACCATCATCATCAGCAGCATCATCAGCATCCTCCTCTTCATCATCACCATCATTCCCAGCATCACCATCATCATTAGCAGCATCAACATCATCAACATCATCATCAGCAGCATCAACATCATTGTATCATCAGCATCATCATGAGCATCAGCATCATCATCATAACCACCATCATCATCCTAACCATCATTATAATGATCATCACCATCATAATCGTCATCATCCTCATCATCGTCAACACTATCATAAGCAGCATCATCATCATCATCAGCATTATCATCAACATCATCACCATCAGCATCACCATTATCAGCATCATGGGCATCATCATGATAATCATCATCAGCATCATCATCAGCACCAGCATCATAATAATCAGCATCATCATCAATATCATCATCCCCACCATCATCATCACCATAGTCATCATCATTATCACATCATCAGCAGCAGCAGTATCATCATCACCATCATCATAAAGATCCTCGCCATCAGCATCAGCTTTATCATAATCATCAGCATCATCATCATTATCATCATCGTCAGCATCATCATCGTCCTCATCTCCATCATCATCAACATCATCATTAGCATCATCATCATCATCATCATCATCATCATCATCCTAAGCATCATCATCATCACCATCATCACCATCGTCATCATCAGCATCATCATCATCACCATCATCAGCATCGTCAGCATCATCATAATCATCAGCATCACATCATCATCACCACCATCATCAGCACCAGAAACATCATCATCAT